ATATATATATAAACCCCAGGGTATCAGTGACACACACATATAAATATATACAACTCAGGGTATCAGTGACACGCACATATATATATATACTGCTCAGGGTATCAGTGACACACACATATAAATATATACAACTCAGGGTATCAGTGACACACACATATATATATATACAACTCAGGGTATCAGTGACACACACAAAACTCACAGGACCAGTGACACATTCAATGACACATCGACCCTGAAACTTTACCCTGCAACTGTATCCTTTCTCTGAATCAGCATACTTGCCAATTGCAACTCTCCCTATTTTGAATGGAGACTCACGATTTTGGGCCCTAAAGTTGAGTATTTCAACCAATGAATTGCTTACCAATTCCTATTTCCGGTGATCTTATGATTTCATTTAAAAGAACAGCTCAAAAGATGCCAGCTAAAAGTGATATTTTCACTCTTAGGTGACATGTAGTCATGGACATACACATGATTTATCTATGTTTTTTATTCTTAGATAAGTTGGCAAGTATGAAACAGCTAACACATATATGTAAATCTATTAAGGTCAAAATATAGCTTTTGGTTTGGTTTCCTGAATATTAAGGTATTTGAGTACCTTTATACAATTGCTTGATTGCAATAAAGTGTGTTAAACTCATTCACCCCTAAAGACAAATTTGAACCCTTCCAATTCAAAGGTTGGAATAGTTCATTATGAAACTTCAGGGGTGAACTATTGATTGCCAATCAGTTTAAAATCATAATCGATAATTTGTTTGTAATCGGAAGTAGTAAACTTTCTCCCACCCTTCACAGGTGTGTCTCCCGTTTAGCCGGGAAAGATCAGCTAATTGTCACCCCCTAGGGGGAGATAGCCTCGTGCCGATTAGCACATGTTCAATTGTGACGTCATTAACATGTGTCACCAGTAGTTGTGACGTCGTCAAAAGTGAATAAAGATATGCATACCCCACATGTTTTTTTCGGGGTGATTTTTTGGGTTGCAGAGCCTCAGGTAAGACAACCAAAAACCACCACCCCTCAAGGTAGGGGAAGATTCTCTTAAACATTTTTAAACTAACATCGATAGACAGAATTATCAAATATCCATTACATATATTAATATAGGCTTTCATCTTTCCTAATGGATGAATTACAGGCATTACTTTTATACCTTGGTTTTTTTTCATTTCTTTTTGTATATTACAATCAATGATATAATGCATTTACAGCCCATATGAATGACACAGCTTTGCAGGCAAACAAATCATTATGCACTATCATTCATATCTAATGTCATGTAGATACCATATCAGCACATTTCAATGCTTACATTTACCAATTTCGGAGAATTTAGAGAAAATTCACAGACATTAAAATTCAGTATTATATAATAGTAGCTTAAAAATTAGTCAATGTATCTTGTGTGTTTGTTTAATTAACACAACAGCCATCTTCCTTGAACAGTCAGTGATATATATTTGATGTTAAAATTATGACATCATAAAAATGATGGCCTCAATCACGGACTTAGATAGCTGATCTAATTCTGTGCCTCAACATATGGGCCATGGCATTTACAATTCAATGAATGTCATCTGAAATTTAAAGGGTAGTGCCTCAGAATGGTAAATATTGAAACATACACCCTTAATTACCTGTCTGTTGGTTTAAATATATTTTTATTGCCTTGAAAATGACAAAAGNATAGGTTGTTGACGACTGTTTCTCTGTAACCCGACCTACTCTTAGAGAATTAACCGAGGTTTTCACATAGATAAAGAAAAATTATTCTTCAAACATGATGTAATTGTTGAAATTAAGATTACTAGAAGCGGTTTGTATCCTTAATTTACTTACATACATAGGTAAAGGTTTTACNATAGGTTGTTGACGACAGTTTCTCTGTAACCCGACCTACTCTTAGAGAATTAACCGAGGTTTTCACATAGATAAAGAAAAATTATTCTTCAAACATGATGTAATTGTTGAAATTAAGATTACTAGAAGCGGTTTGTATCCTTAATTTACTTACATACATAGGTAAAGGTTTTACTATTTAGTTCAAAAGTGAGATCATGATTACCCCAGAGAAGTGTGTTTATGTCTGTTAGGAGGATCTCTGGAAGATTTAAGTTCCTAAGATTTCTTACCAGGTGATTTCTTACAGTTGAGTAATATGGACATGTATAGAAATAGTCTGTTGTAACACCTTTAGAATCACCATACCACTGCCAAAAACTGTTCTATGCATATTGGAATCTGGTTTTTCAAACATTACTATAAGTTCAACAAATAATTTTGAAAAGAAAACCATACCTTCCTGGACTTGTAAAATAAAAAGATGAAATAAACACAGAATTATCAACAACGGTGATCTGAGTATAAATAACATAAATATGTGGGGCTAGACACGGGTTCGAACCCTGAACCTCAAGTTAGTATTCTGTCGCTCTAACCAACTCAGCTACCTCTAGTCAACTGAAGTGCCCTGTCCAACTTTGCACTATGGTTATAAATATGAAAACAAAAAATTAAGGGGAGGTTACTCTAGATACAATGAAAAATGGATTTTTTTAGATTAAGGGGAGTTTACTCTAGATACGATGAAAAATGGATTTTTTTTAATGTTTTGCCATAATTGTCAAAATGAACCTTATGAAATTTTCATAGGGAGGGTTCTACATCCTCAAAATTAAAACAAATGAAATATGTGAATACACCTCTGAGTAAAACCTTAAAACTTTAGAATGACATCTTTTGAATTATTCTTTCAGGTGAAATCACATTGGCCTATATTCATGAAACCATTCTCATGTTCAAGCATGGATTCTATACTCAAATCAGCTTTTCTATCACTCACTTAAATCCTGCGACACGGTCATACAGTCAAATGGTAACGAGTAAATTGGTATTTAGCTCTCTCCATAATTCTTCAAAATCATGAACAAAATGTGATTATTATTATTTATTTATTACTCGAACAACAAATTGGGTGTGAGCACTGACTATGAGTTTGAGCATGAGAACGGTTTCATGAATACGGCCCCATATCTAAGACTATAGGACTAGTTTAGCAAATTTACTGGTTGGAAATGTTTAATTTTAAGGTCCGAACAGGGTTAGACACTAACGTTTTTTGCTTGGTAGTCCATGGGACTATTTTAACAGATTATTTGTCTTCGTCAATGTAACTAGTCCAAGATTTCCTGATAAGGAAACATCGTGATCTACAGCACCATCAAATATAATCGACTGTAGGGGACTTAATACAATTACTACTGCCATAAAATATGGAGAAGTTTTAGGAACATTTTGTCAATTATCATGCATTGTATTGTATTTTAAGCAGTTTTCTTAAATTTAAAAAACAATATTCTTATTTTATAATAATATTTTCAAAAGTCCAAAGGACCAGTTATAGGTTGGGTGATTCACTAGTCCTTGCTGAAATCTACTTGTCCAGGACTAGCGGACTAGTGTTAATGTCGACCCCTGCCGAAATCAGGACTCTCGATCCCTCCAAAATGGGGGGTCTAGTTATTGCTGGTAAGTATGTAACTTGCCGGCAGTTAGACAGGGGTCCTTTATTGACTTCGTGTAATGTATGAAAATAGAAACATACATGTATTATATTACATAGTTACACTTTCTTTTCTGGTAAATATAACCATTGTAGTAGTTCATCCATGCCTTCTACTTTTTCTCTGTATTTGGTTAAATGTTTGTTACTTATATGTCAAAGATATTAATGTCTTCCTCTGATGACGGAAGGAAATAAAATATATGGATTGATTTCAAGGATAATGTACATCAATAACTGTGAAATGGCTCTCTGTCTATAAATAGAACACTGAAGACGTAAACTGCTGCCAGAATTTCAACTTACTCATACAATGTGCCAGACTTATCTAATGTGTATTGATAAGTATTAGATGTAATGCAATGAAATTTTTACAAAAATATATTGCAGGAATTAAACATTTTTTTCCCTTAAGGATTCCTGTCCCACTGCACTGCCGTTCTCCAATTGCGATATCCGTTGTTTTCTTGATAGTAAAGGCTAAGTTTGTGCACAGTCCTGCAAGGAATACTTTTCTTTTCAAAAAATGATTTATCAAAGCTTCAGTCATGCCAAACAAATAAATTTGAATGCAAAGTTTCATTTGGGTGTTTTTGCAGTGGTAAGGGCATCCTTAAGGCCATATTCTAAACTACACTGTATGTAAATGTTTAAGAGATAACCAATGTTGACACTATTTAGGGGGAACTATATAATTTATTCAAATAAATGTTGAAGTTTTATCACCACTTGCTATAAGTGGCATTGTGACATTTATCCAATGGCCTTCTGAGTATAACATGCGTCTACCGATGTTATATGCGTGTGTTTGGGAGTGTGGGATCGGGGAGGGAGGGGTGTAACTGGAGGAGGGGGGAACGTTTGACATTTGCTTTAAGGTCATTCTCAACCTCAATTGGATAGTTAAGAGACACATATATCCACTTTTGTAATACACCCAACGTAACATGAAAACCGAAAAAGCTTCAATGGCGACTTTGGGTGAATACATCTATATGTAGACATTTTTATATAATTATAACTTAACACAAAACATGTTGAAAGTGAGCCAAAAAAATCTTAAATTTGATAAAAAGAACATCTATATGAGCGTTCATTTGATTGATTACCGGACGGAAAAAAACGTTAATTTACAAAATTGTAGAATCAATGATGTTCCAGTACCCGCAACCAGCACTATGAGGAACTCCGCGGGGAAACTAGTCATGACGTATATGTGTAGGTCACGCTCTCTTGCGGTTATCAAGATCACTAATTACGTGCAATACCAAAATATCACCTGTATCTAAATATAGATATCGGCAAGTATAAAACCGCCGAAATTTAACCTCACCGCTTTCCCGATCAAACTGTATATAACCTCTGCGTTTAGACAAAATGGCGGACCATCGCCCAAATTAGTGCCTTTTGAAAATGAAACCCTTACCTGATCATGTCCTGTTCTTTCTCCTCTTCATCATGTTGGCGTTTTAGCACGTCTTCAATAATTTTTCGTTCATCTTCGGTCAAATGGGTAAGGTCCGGCATTGGTGGAAGTGAGGGCCGGACCGAGGGTTTAGGCCTGTTGGTAGACATGTTTTCGGTGGCTAGCCGACCAGTTCAATGTTTAGTGTCTACACAAGCCAGCAGCGCAAACTCAGTGTTAGCTAGGTATCGATCGCTGAGGAGCCAGCTATGTCACAAGCGCTTGTCTCTTCATCGATCGCTACAGTACAGAGCTCCGGCTAAAATACATCCTCGATACTTCCCAGTTTGACTAGCCTCTAGTTCCCTCAAATTTACACTTTTGAAGGAAGCATATTCCATCGGTAAATCTCGACCGGTGGTGTACACGGAACTTTGGATCTCTCTCGGTCAAACGACCCCAGCAGCGTAGTCCTTTCTCTGTATTCCGGTGGTCTACAGACTCCGATAGTTTCGATTTGACATCCAGTCATAATATATTCAGCGGTGTTACAATATTTATGTCGAACCAGCCAATGAAAATCGAGATATCCATGACGTCACGAGGCTCGGAAAGCAGTGCATTCTCCGTTTCTGAACAAAACCTACATAATTTATCGATTAGTTTGGCATGTATTACTACAGTATTCATTGAACAGAGAAAGGAATATATATATACAGATGGCATAATATACACTGAACACCCTATAGTACACCATATGCTAGTTTTTACATTGTTGGGAGCAATAACGCGCTTCTATTCCACTCAGGCAGGGCTGTCCTAGAAACAGGACAAGGACGTATGTAATATCTACGTCTCTGCGGAAAGACAATGATGCTTTACTCAGAATACAGATCCATTATGTACATGTATATTGACAAACAATTACTTTTTACTTAGAATAGTGTCTAACTATACAAACTGACAAACAGTTTTGTTATACAAATGTACATTTTTTCCGATGGCCTCTATTTTCTTATATATGTTGAAGTATGGAAATGTTATAATATTTACAGATGTAAAAAGAATAGTAGGGGATGCGGTGACCAAATGGTTAAGGCGTCTGACATTCTGCTACCACTAGCCCTCCACCACTGGTTCGCTGGTTCGAGGCCAGCGCCAGGTTGAATTGGTCGGTGGTTTTTCTCCGGGAACTCTGACTTTCCTCCACCGCCAATTCCTGACACGTCCTTAACTGACCATAGCTGTTAATAGGACGCAAAACATAAACAATTCAAGACAAACCAAAAAAAAATAGTACAATAAAGGTTGGAATAAAATACCACGCATAATTGGTACATGTAGCGATTTGTTGGAATAGAAACAGGTTGGTTCAAATAGCTATTATAATAGGTAGATATGTGTTGAAATACATGTAGCTACAGTTGATACATGGTCTATGTGGTGCATGTCAGAGTTGGCTCGAGTATGTCAGGTTCTAATTTGTATGAGTGCGTTGTATATGTTTTTATATTAACGTTCCTCTATAAGCAATACCGGAAGAAAATGTGAACGTAATTTATCAGCGTCATTTTGAAGCATCTCATCCCGTCTCGAAAAGCACGAGGCAACCGTTAGAAACGAACATTTTGATGGCGTTCGGCTGTTCCGGAAAGGCGACGAGACAGACACTTCGGGTATCGCAAAGAGTTTGAGATCAGACATACCTTAATTGGTCTGATTGTCCAATTTAGGTACCTGGGATAGAGTGCTATAAAGCTTCTTCAAATAAATTATATTAATTATTACTAATTATTACACAGAGGTCAAATATGTAAAGAAATGAAAATAAAATAACGAAGAGGCCTATAGATAATACCTTACATGAACCAACTACATGTACAACATTTACCGATAAACAATTTCCAGCATTCACCAAATGTACCATCTACATGTACTAGCTACTCTCTACAACATGTACTAGCTACAACATGTACCAATACACAATCTAAAATATTCCCCTACCGTACCATCTACAACATGTACTAGCTACAACATATACCAATACACAATCTACACCATTCACCTAACGTACCCTCTACAACATGTGCTAGCTACAACATGTCCCAATACACAATCTACAGCATTTACCTAACGTACCCTCTACAACATGTACTAGCTACAACATGTACCAATCCTTAATCTAAAAAATTCCCCTAACGTACCATCTACAACATGTACTAGCTACAACATATACCAATACACAATCTACACCATTCACCTAACGTACCCTCAACAACATGTACTAGCTACAACATGTCCCAATACACAATCTACAGCATTTACCTAACGTACCCTCTACAACATGTACTAGCTACAACATGTCCCAATACACAATCTACAGCATTTACCTAACGTACCATCTACAACATGTACTAGCTAAAACATGTACCAATACACAATCTACAGCATTTACATAACGTACCATCTACAACATGTACTAGCTACAACATGTACTAGCTACAACATGTACCAATAGACAATCTACAATATTCACCTAACGTACCATCTACAACATGTACTAGCTAAAACATGTACCAATACACAATCTACAGCATTTACCTAACGTACCATCTACAACATGTACTAGCTACAACATCTACCAATACACAATCTACAATATTCACCTAACGTACCATCTACAACATGTAATAGCTACAACACGTACTAATACTTAATCTACAACATTCACCTAACGTACCATCTACAACATGCACTAGCTAAAACATGTACTAATACACAATCTACAGCATTCACCTAACGTACCATCTACAACATGTAATAGCTACAACATGTACTAATACTTAATCTACAACATTCACCTAACGTACCATCTACAACATGTAATAGCTACAACATGTACTAATACTTAATCTACAACATTCACCTAACGTACCATCTACAACATGGACTAGCTACAACATGTACTAATACACAATCTACAGCATTCACCTAACGTACCATCTACAACATGCACTAGCTAAAACATGTACTAATACACAATCTACAGCATTCACCTAACGTACCATCTACAACATGTACTAGCTAAAACATGTACCAATACACAATCTACAACATTCACCTACCGTACCATCTACAACATGTACTAGCTACAACATGTACCGATACACAATCTACAATATTCACCTACCGTACCATCTACAACATGTACTAGCTACAACATGTACCATTACACAGTCTACAACATTCACCTAACGCACCCTCTACAACATGTACTAACTACAACATGTACTAACTACAACATGTACTAACTACAACATGTACCAATACACAGTCTACAGCATTCACCGAATGTACCATCTACAACATATCAATTGCTATCAAATACAATTGCAACTATAGTATGTTAAAATCGTCTTGCCATCTTTGTGTAGTTCTGGGTTTTTCCTTTCACTTCGTTTCGGTTATTATCACTTTTATCATGTCCTTGTAACCAAATATTCACCTCAAAAACAGGTCCATTATTGCCTATAGCCTATCGCGTTGGGAGTTGATACCGAGTCTCGATTTTGTCAATAACGGCAGTATAGCAAAGAATGAATATACGTTTATATAGATATCGTTTTTAAGAATCCCTGCACCATTGCATGCAAAACAGTAAATCATACAGTTATCTCCCCTTAAATTTCGTTTTGGATAATTTCCCTTGACCAGCTTACGTCAGTACAACAATCGGAGGACCAGTGTTCGAACCCCGGACTAGCCCCACTGATTTCTTTCCATTCTGAACACTTTGGTTACTTTCATTTTGTATTATAGCAGAATAATTGTGTTTTTCTCCATTTATCAACATGCTGGATAAATAAAGAAAAATAAAAAATAAAAGCTTTGGCCGTGGGTATATCCTTATGGATTAGTGCCAATCATCAAAATATCATTTTGACAAAACGACCCATCTGTCAACAAAACGGTATGTATAATTACACAACGGCTTACATAATAAGAGATTAATTGACAGTGAACTATATATAGTTCGTACATCTATAAGCATGAATTATTTAATAGACGGGTGTGACGTGGGCGCGTACAACCAGATAATTCTGCGTCCAGAATATCGACGTTTCTTCTCCCTTTCTATCTTCAAAAAGGAGGTCATGTTTAGATAGATATTATTTTCCAATGCCAAATATTGCTAAGTTCAAGAATTAATTAATACGAACAACTTATCAAAATATTAAGAATCTAATGCAAAATTATCAATACTTGGATACTCTTTGCACTCTTTGCTTGACAAAGGAAACAGAGTTTCTCGAAAGCTCGAAAAATTCGTTTTTTATTCCTGTTTCAGTGTTTGTGTTAAGAACAAACTTAGCCTTTAATATCAATGCTTCGTTTTAAAACAATTCACATGAGTTGTCCTCCAAACACATTTCATTTGATTTTGTATACTGTTTTGAATATGATTTTTCTTACATTTTCAATTTAAAGATAATAAAATAAATTTGAAATTGACAAAATTAAAGGGAATATAAAAATATGCACTCTGTATAATATCAGATACTACGGACATTTTAAAGAAATTAAATTCCGTGAAAATACTAAAAACAAATCTGATAGTATACTGCAAAAGAACTTATTGTGGCGCGCTCAAATTTTAGTAGTGCATTATAAAAAAAAATCATAGATAAGCGCGTTGATGAACTTTCGCACCCCGAAAATAGGCAGTAGAGAACAAAATATATATGTACGCAATATCACACCACGTGGTTACTGTTTCTCCATGCGAACGGTACTAGTGATAATCTGTTCGCTGTTCATAACTTTCTGTTTTTCCATTACTAAAATAAAGTTTGGTTTCAGGGCTTTCAGTAGACCATGGAGATTATGTTTTTGCTCCACGGAATGAGCTTCGACTAACGGGTGTGAAAGGACATGAGTCGAATTATGTGTTTATCACCCTTCAAGTTTCAGAGAAATTTTATCTGACTTCTGAAGTTTCTAAATATCAAGAGTGAACTGAAAACACGGGATTTCACGACTTTCAATGGTAGCGAATCCAGCCAAAGTTGTTAAATGTACAACTTATTCTGTATAAATATTAACCGAATTTGAAAGGAATTGCTGCGTTATATGTTACTTATAGCCATATGCCAGGATTCCCCCGGTCAGCGCTGCTGTTAATGTATGTAGTAACGTTAAAGTCATATTTCTATGTAGATGTACTATGATTCACTGACAAAGAAAAAGGTGTCCAGTACTAATGCTAGCCCAGGTATCGATCATCAATATTCACTGTTTTTACTGATCCGGACCCGATGGTTCAAAGTATAGTTTTTTAGCTTATCAGTCCGTTATTGTAAAATCGATAAAGGCGGTTTTTTCCTCAAGAAATCTTCATGTAATTTTTCATATACTTTTCTTTTAGGTGGATAGTCTGCATTGCTTTCATCCAATTATTGTGAAGATTTAGAGGAGAATTTAAAATTATTTAATGTATTTTTATTGACAAAC